CAAATAAGGTGCTATACAGTATACTTAACCTACCACTCATTTAAAATTGTGATAGCATATCTACTGGTGACGTGTCCTCTTGTTGTTCAGCATAGTGCAGTGCCTTTTAAATTCCATTTAAGTCATCTGTGTGAGTAATGTTGGTTTGTAGAATTACTATGTCTTTATTATCAAAACTTCTATTACGTGCAATTAAATTTATGATAGCTCCCATCAGACCCTTTAAATCAGGCATTGGCAGCCTATAGCAAGTGGAACAATTGTCAATGACACTCTACAATTTAGAAGAAATGGAAAGCGATTATGTAGATCTCTTGTACAACCATGTTCATTGGCTTACCTGAGCCATGTCTTGAATGAGCTTGTGTTATGCATTGAACACAAACTTTTTTTCTTAATGAGAAAAATCAACATTTCCCTGAATTTGCATTAAAATTTTTAACCTTTTTCCTACTGTGAGGTATCCTGCAAGACTGGTTTGGCACACCACAACAACAAGGCTACTGATCTCTGTTTTAAACCGTTCATCATCTTGCAGCCAGTCATTCACATCTTCATTCAGTATTGTCTCTAACTTTTAGTTGGTTTAAGGTAGCCGCTAATTCTACGTCATATGTTTCTGTCATCGTCATTTGTATCACTAGGCTCGATAACACGGTTAATCAAAACTCAGATAATCAGTTTTCAATTGTATGTATATAAATTTATCTTAAACATTTAGCTCACACCTGTTCTAAATTATGCTTGCACCTTAGTCATATAATATTCATAACCTTTCAAACATTTGCATTAATTTATTTCATTTGTTAAAATTTACTTTATGGCACCCATTGGCGAAACGTCTCTTTTTCAATGCCAAGATCAGCGCTAGGAAGGATCGACACCAATTTTAAGATGGTGCTGATCCTTCCACCCACTACGCAAAACCAAAACAAGAAGACTAACACAAACTCAGTGTCCATGTACACATCAACCTATTTTAACTTCAAAAAACATCAGAGAATTGCACAAACTAGGCACTGCTCACTACCTTAACTTTGTCCATGTACAAATCTATCTATTTTCACTTACATAAAATCATGAAGCTAAAACAAAGTTATAACTATCATCTAAATAAACCAGAAAAAAATCTACCGCTGTGTTAATATACAGAGACGAACAAATAACCAAAAATACATATTTCCTAACATAAACACATCAAATCTTTTTTAAAAAATTAACACACAGAGACGAACAAATAACCAAAAATACATATTTCCTAACATAAACACATCAAATCTTTTTTAAAAAATTAACACACAGAGACAAATAAATGAACTGTCAATTTTTTAACATACTTTTTTTTCACGTGCGTATATTCACACTTCCCACCACCATCTCCTACATCCTTCGCTTAAGCAATTAAATTAAATTTTTGGTCGCTTCTTCGGCTCATCCGCTGTTAATCAACATTCATCCTCTTACCCACCTCAGACATACCTAAATCATGGTATCCAAAGCAAAATAATAGCAAGTTCAAAACCCAAGATTATACCATGCAGATGCAAGCAAACACAACAACTGAAAACCATACCCGGGACCATACGAAAGGGTTACTATTACAAAATATAGCCCAAAACTAAATTTATCATAACACATTTGGTGATATTCACAGAAATAACCCCTTTTTAATGACAAAAACTAAAAAAAAAACACAATTTTCATCAAGGCTAGTTTCGCCAACATTAGGGTTACAGAAAATCCTATTTCACGCAGGGAGCTTCTAGATTTCATGAACAACCAATACCACTTTGCGATTTTTCAGACAGAAACCAAGAGGTACAGCTTAACCAGTTAACTGTGGCGCTCTCGTATAAGAGTGTGCACCGTTTTTTGTCGTCAGAATTGAGCCACGATGAGTATATTCGTCAATCACAGAGTAAGTTGCGCTGGTACGATATTTCATGAAAAAGATGGGTTTATTTTATAAAATTGAAAATTTTATTACTAATATTTACTTATTTGGTTAACTTAAGCATATATATTAAACTAAAAATGCAATAAATTAAATATTATACATATAAAAGTAAGAATTTAAATTCCTGCTGTGGAGTGATATTCAGCGAAACAGGGTACTATAAACAATGGGACTTTGCAAATCGAACACCAATAATGGGATTCCTTCCTCATCTTACGTTTGTAGCAAAGCGAACACTTTCGCATAGGTTTTTTTTTTTTTTTTTTCTCCTGATGTTCCGGGTATATAATCTGGAACATGATTACCGCCTAATTGGCTTATATTAGGTCTAAATGGCAGAGTTTGTGTCGATTTATTTCTTTCAATTGGATACGTCAAAAGTGTTTCAATAAATTTGAGGAAAAAGTTGATACGTGATAATGTTCCATTATTTTTTTTATATAATATATTTATTATATATAATGTCATACATATGGGCCCATATGTATGACATTATGTGTCTGAATATGTACATTCAGACACATAATGTCTAAGAAATGGAGAAATATCTTTTTGCAGTACTTTTTGAGTCGTTTCCTTGCTGTGGAGTACGCTATGATAATTCCATTGCTCATATCCACTCCATCCATTTTTTTATTATAATCAATCACTAGCTCTGGTTTCTTTGTTATTATTTTTCTTTTCTGTTTCTATTACATTATCATTATGTACAGTACTTACTAAATAAACCGCCCCTTATTTTTCCATTTCATTATACGCATGACGAGTATACTCGTCAACCACAGTTAAATGGTTAATATCATATTTCCATATAAAATTTTGAATTGCACTGGTGAAAGATTTTAAACACTGTGCATTTAAGAAAATATGTACAGTACAAAGTACAAGATGCAGACTTGTCGGGACTTCGCCAATTCCGTATTTGTGATTTTTCCGGATATTAGATCATCAGTTTAAATCTAGTTAGATGGCATTCAGAAATTATAAAATTAAAAATATGAAATCATGATTTATGAAATAATGAAGCATCTATGACCTAAAGGGTAACAAAATTAAAAAAAAAAAAAAAAGCTTAATATTTATCTGTTTATTTAATTAAACATTTCTTTGAATATAAATTGTTTTTCTTTCATTTTTTGTGCTTATACTTTCTCTTCAATTCTGTAGACAGACGTAATTTCTTATTCAGTTATAAATTTCCACTATTCAAGTCCTGCAGTTGTTGCGTCGAGAATTCCGAGTAACTTGTAAATCGGAATTTTTTTGTTTTCGATAATCTCTCATCACTTTCTTCACTATCGGTAACAGTGTTTTCTGGATTTAGAATCATACTAGAGATTTTGCTGTCCATTCATTGATTGATGATTGGCACAATGCCATTGCAATGAAAAACTTCTGTTATATCACCTTCACTTATTACCGCTTCTCAGCATTTCTTTACAAAATCCATTAATTGGAAAAGCAAATATGCATCTACGGAGCCAAATTATTGATTAAATTTATGCTAAAGTGATTGTTTCTTCAATAATGAAGTATTTTAATCAGTACCGAAGTGAAATTAAGAATTGGGATTCTCCACACGCTTTCTTACGAGGGGAAAAATCAAATGTGAATGCATAAAGCATTAAAAAAAAATTTCCTGAAAAACTTTTGTTGGTGGCTTTAAGGTCCAGATTCCAGATATTGGACGTCCGGATCTCAGGCTTTGTACTGTATAGAATAAAATAATAAATAATAACAATTTCAACATTCCATTGAAAGTTTCATGGCATTCTGACATCATTTCTGTACACTTAAACAATAAAAAATGAAACATTCTGTTTCAGCATATGAAAGACGATATGGTCATCCATTGCTCCCGTATCAATTTGATAGGGTAAGTCTACAATGCTGGAGGCAATGAGGTTAACATATCATATTTTTAACAAATCTACAACAAAACTATGTGAACACACTAAGGAGTACTGAAAATGAAATTTTGAACAGAAAACATGTGTTAGAATTAAAGGTACTCTTCCGTTATTGGGACCAGATTAAAAAATGTATGTATCTGAATGTATGTGTATACACACATATATAGGCATACATACATATATAATGCACACATACATACATTTATGAATCCTGTCCCAATAATAAAAGAGTAAATTAAATTTTTATTTTATTATAAGAAAAATTTGGCTTTTTATACCCGTTGTTATACTATGCTATTTGAACACTACATAAATCTCTACAAGGGTTTTTCTTAAGAATCTACCTATGCTGGCAGGAAATAGAGAGTTTTGCATATATTCTATGGAATATAAATAAAATAGTTATGAGATATATTAATTTGAGTCTCAGCATCTGAATTGCTCTGAATAAATACTTTACACATTAATTACATAAAATCAAAATTAATATTATAAGACAACAGATTATGCACTAAATAATTTACCTAAAACAAAAATTTTGCAAATTCATGATGCATGATTATTAGAAAAAGAGAATTGCACACACACACGAAAAAAAAAAAAAAAAAAAAAAAAATATTTGCACTTTTGTTCAAAAGTTTATTTGTATATTAGAAAAAATTAACATGAAACATACTTTATTGAATATTCTAAAATGTTAAATTTTGTTTGTTTATATCTAAAAATGAGTGCAAATTATTAAAATGTCTTTCTCTTTAATATGGTTATTATTTTCACTCTGCATTCATGCAAGAAAATTATATAACCAGAGAGGACAATAATCATGGGATCAATGAAAAAGCTAAACAAACTGCACAAAACTATATCTCAACTTCACCTCGATTTGCACCTAGCAGAATACATGTCAAGCATTATTGACCAGAATGTGACTACCAGAATGTGACTATTAAAAAAAAAATCAATCTTGGGGCCTCTTTTAAGTAAATTGCTCACAAAAAATAATAAATATAAATTTATACTAAACTGCTTCTATACGTATATACTGAATAAACTGTTGTGCAGATATCGAATGAATTCCAAACTTGCATTAGCTAATGTTAGTCTTGTTTTCATAACATTAACGATAACAATTGGAAACAAAAACACTTTCTTCAACCAAAATTAAGGCAATGACATTTTCTCTTACAAAGACAAATACAAAAAGGAAACCATTTATAAAAGTTGGCAGTTTTGAGTTTTTCACACCATACATGCAGGAATTATGTTATCCTATGCATGAAAAAAGAGAGAGGGGGGCCTAAGTACTTCTGATCTGATTTTTCATTTATTAGTGTCAAATACAAATTACACAGCAGCATAATTTGCAAGGCAAAAGATGACTCAGCAAACATCTTTTGTTATGATACAGTTTAGCCCAAGAAATAAATGTTTTCATGAAACCACATTTTTTATTCATTACTTCATTTTCCCTGACTCATGATGCCATACTGTTGCATGAGAAATGGTTCTAAATTTCTTTCCAGGTTCTTCTGTCTAAATTAGGCAATTTTTTTTTTTTTCTTAATTCTTATTTTCCTTGCACATATCATAAGTAGATAATTTGTGAACTACAACTTTAGTGAAATATTCCATATACATACTTTCTATCATCAAATACATATTCCATTACATCTTTATTTTACTTTTCTACAATTCTCCCCATTATCAATATTTCCCGATTATGTTCATTTATTAATATATAGTTATTGATTCATTAATATGTTTAGAATGAACATATACATTCTCTGTATCATGATGTTTCTACACTTCTGTCTTCATTGAAATACCTCAATATAGTTTCTTCGAAGTCTTTAAAACAATAATGTACGTCATTTGTATGACTCCATTATACAAATGCTTCAGAGATTTGTAAGAGAAAGATACTTTCTGACTGACAAAATGTGTCAGAAAAAAAAAAAAAAAAAAAAAAAAAAAAAAAAAAAAAAAATTGAGTTTTACAGTCTCAAAATGTAGATTCACTGCCAATAAAATGGCAGAAAGAGATGTGTTAAAGCTTGCATTAGGAAGATGGTATGTTGAAAGATCTAATTATTTTTAACTAGAGGATTTATGAATGAAACTTTTCTTACATACAAGTGCTGACTGGTCTAGGAGTTAAACTTGGAAAGTTATAGTTTAACATAAAATACTTGAAACATTAAAGTACATATAAGGCAAACAAAATACTTAGCTATTTTAAAGGTAGAGAATACTTGAGGATTACACCACTTAAATGATTATGTCGCAGACCATCAAATTTAATCACGAAACAATTTTGATACAGGATAATATATGCCCATATGTTGCTCTTTTGATCAGAAATTAGTCCATTTACACTGAACAGCACTGCATTATTTCCTGTTGTTTATAAAACAGCATTAAAAGTAAAATAAAACAATTTAATATGGAAGGAATAAATACACGATCCATAATAGCATCCCATTTGAGAAAATAGAATCAGTTTAAAAACATGCGACTTAAAGTATATATTACATTATGTTCTCCTTTTATTATAAAAACTTCTTATACATACTATATAAGCAAATATTGCTTTGAATCTGTCTTCTTAGAAATGCCTTTTATTATAAAAACTTCTTATACATACTATATAAGCAAATATTGCTTTGAATCTGTCTTCTTAGAAATGCCTGGTGATTCACCTTGCTTATTGAATGTTCTCTTTTCTGTGAATAATTTAAGCCCAAATGATGTGATACTTAATTATAATAGGGATTCCTCAAATATATAAAAGACAGCACTTGTGTGAACTGACTTTCTTATTCTTCACATAGAGATAGATTTTTTTTTTTTTTTTTTCATAATATTCTTTGTGGCAGTTTTGAAGATTCATAATTTTTTAATCTTTTCTATTAACAAGCCATGTTGATTTTTGTTAGAGCTTAGTTATATATATAGTAGTATATTTTCCCTGAATAAGAGATATTTCCTTACATACTTGTTTTGTTTACATAGTTCCACAGAATTTCCGATTGCAATTTTGGCTAGGCATTTTAAAATATTTTAGCATGCACTTTTTTTCAAAGATCAAAAACTTTAAAAAAAGAAAAAGAAGAAAATCTTTGTACAACCAAGTTGTAACATAACTCACATATTTAATGTTTCTCTCTTGTGTGAATAAGCATATGTTTATTCAAAGCCTTCTCTTCTCTAAATGACTTTTCACATACTTCACAAGCATGATGTTTCTCTTCATTGTGAATAAGCATATGTTTGTTTAAGAGATATTTTTCTGTAAATGACTTGTTACATACCTCACATGCATGAGGTTTCTTTGCTGTGTGAATAAGCATATGTTTGTCTAAAACATATTTTTCTCTAAATGACTTGTTACATACCTCACATGCATGAGGTTTCTCTCCTGCATGAAAAAGCATATGTTTGTTTAAAGCACTTTTCTGTCTAAAAAACTTCTTGCATACCTCACACATATGAGGTTTCTCTCCTGTGTGAATAAGCATATGCCTGTATAAATTATCTGTTGATCTAAATGAGTAGTTACAAACTTCACACGCATAAGGTTTATCTCCTGTGTGAATAAGCATATGTCTATTTAAAGTACTCTTTTCTCTAAATGACTTACTACATACTTCACACGTAAAAGGTTTCTCTCCTGTGTGAATAAGCATATGTTTGTTTAAAGCATCTTTTCCTCTAAATAACTTGTTACATACCTCACACGTATGAGGTTTCTCTCCTGTGTGAATAAGAAGATGTTTATTTAAACCACTTCTGAATCTAAATGATTTGTTACATACTTCACACGCAAGCGGCTTCTGTCCTGTGTGAATAAGCATATGATTATTTAAAACACTTTTCCCTCTAAATGATTTGTTACATACGGCACAGACATGAGGTTTCTCACCGGTATGAATAAGCATATGCGGGTATAAATTACATTTTGATCTAAAGGAGCGGTAACATACCTTGCACACATAAGGTTTTTCTTGTGTGTTAATAAGCAACTGTTGGTTTAAAGCATTTCCGAATCCAAAGGAATTGTTATATACCTCAGGTACATGAGGTCTCTCTCCTGAGTGACTAAACATATGCTTGATTAATTTATATTTTTCTCTAATTTATGTTGTTGGTCGGGTATCGTTGTAAGTTGAAATTAAAACTGCCACTGTAATACTTTGGAAAAGCTAATTTTACGGTACAAATCTGTATCATAAAACTTCGTTCCACCGAAATCCTGTAAACAGAGAGCTTTGACCAGAAACTCAGTTTCGGAAAAACATTGCCACTCAGGTAATCTGAAACTATGCACAAAAGATAACAATTGAGGCTTGGTTCTAACACAGCTCAATATACATTTAATCAAACAAAACAAAGATAAAAAATACTCTTTGTAAAAATATCAGGGCTAAATAATAAACGAAGGAAAATTAAGTTCTTAAATTTCTACACTAAAATAACTCAAGTAGTGTTCATGTAAGAAATCTAGATGGGATTTTAATTTGTCTTCGATTTCGGGCCCTAGTCTGCACACCATGGAGCCTGAGAAGCCTTAATCGAGATGGAAGAACCTGTCGTCTTTTGCGATCTCGCAAAAAACGACGTCTGGTGTCATCGTCTCGATCATTACAGAGGTCGACGCGTCGGAAATTTTTCCGTCAGCTGCGTAGCTTCCGTCAGTTCATGACTGTCAGACAGACAGATAGACAAAGTAGACAGATGTCTTGTTTTGCACCCGCTCAGTCTTTCTGCTCCGATGGGCGAAAAATCAAGCATAGGTGCGAAGTAAAAGGTATATAGAAAGAGGGGCAATTTCATATTTGAGGAGAGTAAAAAGGAACTTCGTACATCTTGTACGAGTTCAAAAAGCCAGGAAGAAAAGATGGGACAAAATAAAATTTAAAATAAATGGCCCAAAAATAAATAGAGGGGGGAAGGGCCTAGAGAAAGAAAAAGGAAAAGAAGTAGAAAATATCCTAAAATACGATTGTGTCCTTGAGTGTAGTTAAAAGGAGAAGACACTGTCTTCATTTACAATAAACAGTGTCTCACAGGCGTGCGTGTGTAGTGAGTGTGTTTGGTAATGGTGAATAGATGTGTTACTGGGGAAAAGACAAATATTGACGGTGTTAAAATCCTTCGTATCAAGGTATTTAACATGGAATATAAAGTAATATGTATGCTTGCATCCTGAGATATCAACAAAAGTCACCAAACAAAAGTATATTTTAATTTAACCAAAGTAACTTATACTATTTTTATTCTCAACATTTTCTTACATTTTTCAAAAGCAGGCTGAAAGTCATCTGCTGAAATGCATCTGCATTTCAGCAGATGACTAACAACATAGAACCAAGGAGGTTAGAATAGAAGGAGGGAGGGTTCGCAGTTTCCTCCACTATCGGGGAATGAAACTCCGTCGAACAGGCGGCGTCCATGTTTGTGACTTCAAAACATTGCATTACGGCAGTGACATGTACGTGTTTCTAAGCTGTTCCGTGCATTTATTTTCCAGTAAAAATATGTTAAATTTATAATGAAATCCCTCGCTATTTGTTGAATTTTTGTTTTAAAGTAATAAAGATGATATCCATAATTTACTATGTACAGCAAATATTAAGAAATAGTTTCGAAATCTAAATGCATGCGCATAACATTAAAGCCTTTAAAAAATGATTTTTCTGCATATTTCACGAATTTGCTTAGGTTAGAAAATAAATCTTAATAAATAAAAAACAGATTTATGTGAATTCATTGATTTCAGTTTATGCGCATTTCATATTTATTAATCTCAAAGAAACTGCCTTTAATTAAGTTGAATTACAGAAATACACCTATATAAGTTTTGGATACATCTTTCCACATGTTCAATTGTGTAATATTTTACTTACTTTTATCACTATACTGCCCCAGAATTTTGTAAGTTTATGCAAAAAATTTTGAACAACAGAACAGTTTATCTTAACTTAAAAAATGAATAATAATTAATATATAAAGAAAAGCATTGCTTTATTTAACACCTTTACAATTAATAAAAATAGTAACAATTGATTTCTTACTTTTCATGAAAGTTATAAAACGAATTAACTAAAACGTTCAAATTATACAATTTAAATCCTACCATATATCATTGTATCTTAAGGAACGAAGATACCAGCTATAAACAGAAACATTAAAATGTATTTAATATATTTTGATTATAGTTATATTAAATAACCTATTAAGTCCTTTTTGTTCACATCTGGAAAGAAAACCACATGACATTGTGATATTTTTGACATAGTTGTCATATTACATAAAAAAAGAAAATTAATAGTTACGTGTGAAAAATAATGCCCGGAATTTTTTTCGAGAATCTATTTGTGCATTAATATGCAATACAAGCTGACATGCTTCAAAAAGAAAAGAAAAAAATGTTGCAATGACAGACTTCCTTGCACAAGTCACGGTGATAACAGGAAGATGGCCGCCAAACTTCACCGTTTGAGTTGAACCTTCCCTCCTTCTATTCTAACCTCCTTGCATAGAACCATATACAATACAAGACCACAACCGCACACACCAAAATATATATATATATATATATATTTATGTGTGTAAATTACTGAGTATATGTATTAAAAACACAAATTAAACAGTATTTATTAATTTAACTATCATAATTTATTACAAGATTAATTATTTTACTATCATAATTTATTACTAGTTAATTAATGTTAGTATAACACAATGAGGCACACTGTTATTTATATAAGCTTATAGTTCTAAGAATTCATTTAAGGAGGTGAAGAATAAACCATTCCTTACATATGGACATTTAACAGATAGCAAAGAACAGTATGAGAAAAAATCGGTGAGGTATAATATTATTTAAAGGCGAAACTATATTCAACTGATCTAAAAAGAATAGAGAATCCAGAAGATCCGAGAGGGAAATAGCGCGATGCCCAAATTTTCACTCTCATCCCAAAATTTTCCCTCTCACGAGATTCCTTAAGGGCTTTGTAAGTGGTGACAGACGTGAACTGATAACGTTGGCGTCTGTTTGGAGTTGATACACAAAGGAAGCCACAAGCAATGAGCAATTTTAAGTATTTTTTAATGCTTTAAACTGATGAAAAATTAAGATTTATTGATTTAAAGGCACTTATTTATAGAAATTTGATTTAGTTTAGATCAAAGAAAAGTACTTATCTTAAAATTCCAGGCTTTCGGAGTATATCCTTACATTGTCCGCAGTTTTATTCTCGTCAACATCGGAGCCGAGATTCATTGGAATGATATAGGTGTTGTAGGAAAAAAAACACTATTTCAAAGTAATTTAATTGATAATCACCAAGGGAAAAGAAAATTTTTTACTTTTTTACGGGCCCACCAGCGGCCGAGCGGTAAAGTCGCTGAACACTGGTAGTTCGGTCCGAGGTTCGAATCCCGCGAACGGGCTGGCTGCATGGGTGCTTTTGTGGTTTTCCCCATGTGTAGTTTCCCTTAGAAAGTCCTCCACGAAGGCATCCCTCCCCTTAGGCAGATAGCCCTAGTGTGCTTTGCCATAATAAAATACACCACACCACCACTTTTTTACGGAGCGCTGCGAACGTGCTGCTGCTTGCCTCGGTGATGAATTTTCTGAATCCTCTAACAAAATCGCAGACAGACAGACAAAGTAGACAATTGTCTTGTTTTGCACCCGCTAAGTCTTTCCGGCGAAAAATCAAGCATAGGTGCGAAGTAAAAGGTATATAGAAAGGGGGGCAATTTCGTATTTGAGGAGAATAAAAAGGAACTTCGTACATTTTGTAGAGTTCAAGAGGCCAGGAAGAAAAGATGGGACAAAATAAAATTTAAAATAAATGGCCCAAAAATAATAGAGGGGGGGAAAGGGCCTATAGAAAGAAAAGGAAAAGAAGTAGAAAATATCCTAAAATACGATTGTGTCCATGAGTGTAGATAAAAGAAGAATTTGTCTTTATTTACAATAAATAGTGTCTCACAGGTGTGTGTGTGTATGTGTGGTGAGTGTGTTTGGTAATGGTGAATAGATGTGTTACTGGGGGGGGGGGAATATTGACGGTGTTAAAATGCTTCGTATCAAGGTATTTAGCATGGAATACAAAGTAATATGTATGCTTGCATCCTGATATATCAACAAAAGTATATATTAATTTAACTAAAGTAACTTATGCTATTTTCGTTCCCAATATTTTCACACATTTCCCAAAAAACAGCAGCAGACAAACAACATAGAACCATATACAATACAAGACCACAACCGCACACACCAAAAATATATATATGTGTGTGTGTGTGTGTGTAAATTACTGAGTATATGTATTAAAAACACAAATTAAACATAGTATTTATTAATTTAACTATTATAATTTATTACAAGATTAATTATTTTACTATCATAATTTATTACTAGTTAATTAATGCTAGTATAACACAATGAGGCACACTGTTATTTATATAAGCTCATAGTTCTAAGAATTTATTTAAAGCAGTGAAGAATAATCCATCCCTTACGTATGGACATTTAACAGGTAGCAAGGAACAGTATGAGAAAATATAGGTAAGGTATAATATTATTTAAAGGTGAAAATATATTTAAACAATCTAAAAAAAAAAAAAAAGAAAGAAAGAAAGAAAAAAAGAAACCAGAAGATCCGAGAGGGAAGAAGCACGATTTCCCAAATTCCTAATTTTCCCTCTCACGGGATTCCTGAAAACAAGATAAGGTGTGGGGCCTTTGTAAGTGCTGACAGACGTGAACTGATAACGTTGGCGTCTGTTTGGAATTGTTACACAAAGGAAGCCACTAAGCAATGAGCAATTTCAAGTATTGTTTTAATGACTAAAAAACTGATGAAAAATTAAATTTATTGATTTAAAGGCACTTATTTATAGAAATTTGATTTAGTTTAGATGAAAGAAAGGTACTTATCTTAAAATTCCATGGCTTTCGTAGTATATGCCTTACATTGTTCCGCTGTTTCATTCTCATCAACATCGGAGCCGAAAATCTTTAGAAAACGTGTAGGTTTTGTAGAAAACACACTATTTGAAAGTAATTTAATTGATAATCACTAAGGGGAAAGGAATGTTTTACTTTTTAGAGCGCTGCAAGGCACTTGCCTCGGTTAACAAAATACATGTGCGTTTTGAGTAACTGAAGAAGGTCCGAGTTTTTGAAGTGTACTAATGGATAATTAAGTTTATCAGGTTCAATGTTTTCTTCTAACCTTTCTTCGGAAACATACAATGACCTGACT